CCAGTGCTGGCTGCTTTTCCCCATCAGCGAGGCAGTGTCATTGTCCTTCCCCCCCCTGCCCAAAGCCAGGCTGGGGACAAGATAATTAACCAGGACACCATCAAATGTGCTGTATATTGAACCCCTGCCTTAAACCTATCCTGTGGCACAAAACACCCTTTTAATTACACCCTTTATGGTACAACCGGATCTGTACATTTTTTTGCCAGATCAAGGTATAATTTGGGCACCATCTACCTACCTTCCACTGCAGAGCACTGTGAACAATCACTGCACTTTTTGCTATTCTTAATGAATTATTTAAAGACAAAAAAAAGATGAAAAGGGTCAGACAAAACACCCAACATTAGCACAGGTCATGTCCGGCTTTTTCAGCTCTGTCTCTTTTTACACGCTTCATTTCATAGCCATTTCAGGCATTTGCTCACACGCACAATTCCCTGCATGGGAGAGCAACCAAAGGCATCCCTGGGGATGCCAGGTGCTCCAGCCTGATGCATGCCTGCAACCCTTAGGGATATTTCTCTATTTTATTTCAAACTTCAGGACAGCCAAGGATTCATCCTCAAGCAGCTACTTGAAATGCTGGAGCTGTGTTTCCAGCACCGCAGGTACCCAGGCTCACAGCATGGTTGGTGCAGGTACTGACCTGGTATTTCGCCTCCCCCCCTTTTTTTCCCATTTTTTTTTTAATCCTTTGTTATTATTTTTTGATTGAAAGCACAGCTGGAGCCCTGCAGAACAAAACCCATCCATGCACAGCATAACACAAAATATGCCAATCCTCCCCTGCCCACTGGCACAAAGCACAACCCTCCAAAATGTGAAATGCTCACAGGGTTGGGACTTCCACACCGGTTCTGAAGTACAATACTTTTATCAAGTGCATTTACAAACAGCCATTATTTTGTAGAAGAGGTTTTGTTCAAGTTTTTTAATTCCTATTTCTTACCAAGCTGTTCTTTACCTTTCAAAGCCTGGCTCTGTCTCTGGACAGGCACAGCTTGGCCATGCAGCTGTACCCCTCTCTCTACCTAGATATAAATATATATACCATTTGCATATATATATATGCACACAAATGTGCCACAAATCCACATCAGGGATTGTCTCTCTGTTTCCTGGGGGGTAAAGTGCACACACACAGGGACCAGACTTTGTTCTGGAGAATGATAACCAGAGCCTGGTCCACTAACAAATCTGGACAGAAATATTGTGTTTGAATTTCCAAAGCTGTCTTTACCATTTATGTAGCACACGTGGTCTGGGTACTCAGAAAATTTTATGTCTAGTAGTTGTGTTGTGTCTATAGGCAGTTAGTGACCCCTCCCCACCCAAGGAGGGGAAGAGAGAAAAGAAAAGGAGACCCATGGGTTGAAATGAAAACAGATTGAATAAAATAATAATACAAAACTAATATTAATACCAATATTAATATAAAATACATGAAGTTATACTCAGTCCATGTAGTAGTTGCAAGCTGTGTGCTCCCAGCAGTGAAAGCTGGATGCCAAACACTGCAAGCAGTATGGCTCCAGCAAGAGATCAATGGTCACAAGGAGCCAGAATGATAGGCGAGACCCTATGGGAGTGATGATCATCAAGGAAAAAGAGCCATCCCCAGCAAACTCCCCAATTTATAGTGATCATGACATTTATGGTATGGAGCAATTCTGGTGGCCGGATTGGAGCAGCTGCCCTGGCTTTCACTCCCCCCAGCTTCTGCACCTGGCTGACCCAAAACTGCTACAGACCTTGATCACTACAGCTACCTGCATACCAGGAGTGGCCACAAACTAAAACAAAATGTCTATCAAATTTATTCTTACTAAATTGAGTGCTGTAGTCTTCTCAAAAATGCAGCTTTCCCAAATAGAAAACCAACTGCATCCCAGCGAAACCAGGACAAAATGCCAGGTCTTTGCAGTGCAAGATCCCTCGTGCAAAATGAGCTCAGAGGCTACCTGAGTCCATGGTCCAGCCTGGAGAGCAACCCTGGGTCACAGCCCCCAGCTACTCCCATCATTCCTAGCCCTTCTTCGCTTAAAAGCACACAGCCACTCATTCAGTTGCTGGTCCTAGGGCAGAGCACTAATTTATCTGAAATAGTGACAGTTCTAGAGACCTGGTTCTCCCCTATTTTCCTTAAAAAAAAAAATTAAAAAAGCCACCAAGCAAAAATATGTGTGTGTGTGTATATAT